AAAAACATCAAGTCCAACCTACGATCACGTTTAACGGATGAAAGCCTCAACGCTTGCATGAAGCTTAACCTCACCAAGTACCAACCCGACTACAAAGACATCAGCAAATCCATGCAGCACCAGAAGTCGCATTAATGGTGAGTGTTATAACAACATTATTTAAAAGAATAAATTCAGAGGCTTATTATACTGACATTTAGTTGAATTCACTTTTAAAATATATTATATGGCTCTCACTGAAATAAATTTCCAAATTTTTTGCTTTCATGGCTCTCTTAGTCAAAAAGGTTCCCGACCCCTGGTCTACGTTATCGTGTTTCTATTGAGAAGATGCACGTTATTTGAGCAAATTGCGTCATCATCTTTACGTTATATTGTACAGAATTCATGTCTAAAGGTCAACTGAGAGATAATTTTTGACGTTTCCCCGAGTGCTGTGGATTTTTTTTCTTATAAATGGACGTGCTGGGAAAGGCTCAGAGGGTGGTGTGGAGCGTAGTCCACTCCCCATGTCAATGAGGCAAGGGTGAATATTCTGACTTGGTCTCCACAGCACTGGTTGGTGGAAAGTGCAGAAAACGGCGAGTCCTCGAAGCAAGGTCATTGTTAGCCGCTCAGAAATCGCGTTATAACATCGGGAGTTTCGCCTCATAACGGACGCATTCGACGTTATAACGGTGTTTGCATTCCGCGTTTTGTGAAAAATGTTCCCGAATGGAAGAACTGCATTGTAAGCGAAAATGCGACATAGCATGAACATCACGCGTTCAGCAAGGACTCACCGTATAAGCATTGCAAAAATGTGTGTTCAGGGGCCGTGTCTTTTTAGTGTCCATGCCAGGGGAGTAATGCTGCCAGTGGTTGCTTGAACGTTTATTTTAGATACAGATTTGAAGCGGTGGATGAATGCCGTGTGAGCCGTTTCTCAGTGGTAGGCCTCGTGTGGCTGTCAGTCGTTAGCTCCCTCACACTTGTCCTCAACTCAAAATCAGAATCTTTATTTCGACGGGTGGATGAATCTTTGTCATAGTTGTCCAGTAGACATCTGTGGACTTAAACTGACACAATCAGCACTCTACGCTTCTACAGTGGAAATGCTTAACACCCAAATAACCTAATTCAGGGCAACCAGTGTTTAAATCTTACAATGTTAGATCATCACAACCCATTGCACATAACAATCTACCTCTACTCATACGCGTATGCTGTGGTTTTATGATTTTCTTTAACAGCCGAAGTTCTTGAGCACCCGTGCATCACCACTGGCGACACGTTGTGCGCCTGTGCAGAAGGATTCCAAAGACCAAGCCAGTCCCAGCCCTGCGAGTCCATTCACGGTCAGACACAAGTATTCAAGTGCAGTGGCCTACGTTTGTAAGTGTGCGTTATGTGTTACGTGTGTATTGTTAGCTGTAGTGTAGCGGTTACCGTAGTGTAGCGGTTACCGCTGCACTACGAACCCGGCAACCGGAATTTGATTTCCGCTCACAGTCACCACCAGTGACTAATGTTTGATACATCATGCTTTGATAATCACGCATGCATTGTCCTTGAAACTGATTGGCCTGCACCAGAGACTGCCTTCTCTGTGGCCTTGTCTCACCAGTGGTAGACCAGAGAACAACGCCAAAACACAACCAGTACAAGGACAATGCATCAGAGCCTTTATAGCGTGGCTTGAGCTGCTATATCTGTGGTCCCATAGATATAGATCTTGTAAAGTATTGTCTCCACAGCTTGGTGTAAACTGTTGTCGTACATGTCTATATACTGCATACACAAGTATATATATAGTGCGTGTTTGCGTTGTAGGCTCAAGGGATTGGATTGGGGCTGTCGTCATCGTCATGATCGCTACTCTGTGTGGATTTGCCGGCCTCGTCTATTGGATGAAAAGATCTCAAAAGCGTCTACATGCAGGTGGTGAGCCGTCCTCTCGTGGATCGCAATGCACCCATTGGTCCCCCGTGTTAATAATTTGACATAAACCTTCATTCAGCCGAGTCTCCCTACGTTCTGTGATATTAAGAAGCTTCAAGTTAAAGTGCCTTTCCACTCGAGTGAGTATGGAACGATGGTTTTTGCAATAACATCTCTCGATGATGGAATAATTAGGGTTAGTGAGAGCGTTTACAGTTCTAGGGGGTGTCCTGTATGGTGTAAATAATTAAATACACACATTACTACATTCAAATCTGACTTTAATTACCACTCGCACGTCCGATTAGAATGGTTGGTAATGTACGGTGCAAAAGATGTTCAACATACATCCACACCACGATATAATAATGAACCAGATATTTACATTTAGAATGTAATAATGAACACTCATGGACAGATTAGTCCCAGCCACTGTCACCGATGTCGAGGCGAAACGGCTGAGGCTCGCTGGATGTGGAAGGATGAACAGATTCGCCGACGCTCCACAGGGCGTTTTCTTTGCTTGTTTGGGAAACGATTCTGACGAGCGAGCGAGCGAGCAGAGCGCGTGGATGATCGCGGGCACCAAATTCCACACAGCAGAGAGGTAACGTGCAGAGCTTCAGAATTGCCAGCGCAGAAACGCACGGCAATTGTACAATCTTGCAACGGATGGGGACAGCGGCTAATTTGTGCTTGAAGGTTTAATAGTTTACAAGTTTGTGTGAATGTCACGCTGGAATACAGCGAGTCCTCGTTTAACGCGCAAGTAGCAGTGGATGCGTTCCTGAAGAGGTTCTGCATGAAGTGAAAAACGCGTTAATGATGAAGTGTGGCGAGATACGATTAACTACTACGCACACCACGCAGTGAGATGGAGGGACTAGTAACGGAGGCTATGCCACCAATGTGTTAGTGTATCACTCCGCTTACTGCATCACTGCACCGCTCAGCCAGGCAGCTCAATGAAGTAGTTCGTCATCAGCTGCTCAGACAGTGTTATAACGGTGCATGGTCCGTGTTATAACGGTGCATGGTCCGTGTTATAACGGTGCATGGTCCGTGTTATAGCGGTGCATGGTCCGTGTTATAACGGTGCATGGGCCGTGTTAGAATGGTGCATGGTCCGTGTTATAACGGTGCATGGTCCGTGTTATAACGGTGCATGGTCCGTGTTATAACGGTGCATGGTCCGTGTTATAACGGTGCATGATCCGTGTTATAACGGTGCATGGTCCGTGTTATAACGGTGCATGGTCCGTGTTAGAATGGTGCATGGTCCGTCTTATAACGGCGTGCGTTCTGGGTTGTGTGATGAGCGTTGCCTAATAGAAGAAGCGCGTAGTAGCGGAAGCGCGTCGCTGTGTGAACCCGACGTGCTGAGCTGTATGATGAGTGTTGTATTTTACTACCCAAACAGGGGTGACCGATGTGGAGCTGCAACCGCTGCAAGAGGAGACTCACCAAGAGGCACCCACAGAGGAACCACAGGTGACACTCCGACAGCACCGTCAGACTAAATCACTCTCTGACAACCGTAGTTTGAACAGTGAACCCAATGTCAATGACTCATTCTCCTACAGCGACGTAGTTTCAGCTGCAGAGTATCTGTCAGTGTAAACACATCAAGTTGCGAGGAATAATGAAATAAAAAATATAAAAGTGTTTTCCTGATTGATTTAAAGAAGCATATCGCTACAGGCCTGAGCCCATGTTGGAAATTCCATGTTCCTTGGAACAGCCTCTCCAATTTGCAATTTACTTTGCTCAGCCACTGAGGGTGTAACGGGTTTCTTTCCTCATTGCTGTTGCCCCGTGTCCCCCGGTACCTTCGCCGTTCCGCTGTAATGTGCAATGATGCCTACTTTGTTGAGGGCGATATTGGCTCGTAAAATAAAGATTTATTGACAAACCCTGGGAGTTACAAATACACAACAATCTTGACTTGCAAGTATAATTTATCAATTATTGGCATAATCTTGATACTATTGCTGTTAACTTTTTACTATATTAATCAGTTGCTTTGTTAGAGTTTACTTGATTGTTTAGCTGGCTTTACATCCTATCATTTTCCACCTCTGCAGATCAGCTTGGGCTGGATACCGGTGATAAAGAGCTTTACAGCTCATCAGATTCTTGCAGAGTAACTCAATGTCTGTGTCTGTGCACATCTCTACTGTAACCAGCCCTGGACAAAAGGCAGTGGGCTGACTCCACCACAGGTGGGAGTTGAACTCAGGGCCCTGTGCTTGCAAGTTCCATTGTAGAGTCCACGTCCTAACAGTGGCCGTGTCGCAGGTGAGAGACGCCGTGGAGATGATCCAAGAGAAGATGGCCTCGAGTGGAGGTGCCGTGTGGACGTGGCTGAGTGACCGTCGCTCAGAGCTGCTGGGGAGTGGAGGCGGTGGGGTCGGGCCCCACCTCTTGCTCGACCTCTTCCTGCGGAAGCTCATCGACGAGGCCGAGTACTGGAAGGCACGCGGCCTCCCTGATGCGTCGCGACGGGCACACTACGTCATCGCCCTCATGGTAGACAGAGGAGAGGAGGCCTGCGGGAAGTTCAGGGACATTTACCAGGGCTTCAGTAGCAGGAAGATAACATTTCTAGACATGCAGAGACAGGCTGGTAAGTACATAAATGACATTGCAACATTACCTATATTACTGTAACGTTATATTATTAATAATGTATAATTACGAATGTTATGTTTCACTGGGCCTTGTTCTGTGATCCACCCCAGTACCTCTTGCGACCCACCAATGCTTCACGACCCATAGTTTGGGAACCACTCAGTAACAGCGCTGATATTATTTTCATTGTTACAGACATCTGCTCACCAACATACGACCCTACCACAGCAAACAAGATGCTTTTCCTCTCCACGGACCTCAAGACGGTGACGAGAGCAACTCAACCTCATCCATACCCAGATCACGTGGATAGGTTTGTGAGACACCCCCAGGTGCTGTGCTCTGAGAAATTCCTCTCTGGTCGCCACTACTGGGAGCTGCACGTGGGCTGTGCAGAGCAATACATGGTCGGTGTCACCCGTGTGAAGGATTTTATTAAAATCAAAAAACTGAACAAGATCTGGGACACAACGCTGCGTCCTGGTGCGTGTGGAGACGCGACGCTGAGCTCGTGGCTGCTCACAATGGAGAAGTCACCGTGCTGAACCCGCCAGTGCCTCCCCAGCGAATCGGGCTTCACCTGGACTTTGAAATTAAGCAGCTCACGTTTGTTTGTGCCGAGACCATGACGCCTCTGCACACTTTTACACTGACATCCAAGCTTCATTTTCATCCTGCCGTGTGGCTGCACAGCGGATCGATCACCATAGGTACGGTCATATTTGTAAACGGCAACGTCCACGTGTGTACAATAACACAACACAGCCATTCGCGTCATTGTGGAGAATATCAGTGCTGACATAAATGAGCAGAGACAGCACGCATCCTTCACGTGCTTGTCCCTCTACGTAAATATTAAAGTGCTTTGTAATCTTGACTTAAAGCTTTCGTGACTGCAGGAATTAATATTCTTTGGGTCTTTCGGTAAAGTCACGTAGATGGTTCAAAGAAAATAACATCGCAAGTGGTCACCTGAAGACGACCGCTTGCATCGCGATCGAAACGTCGTAGTTCTGTTTTATTTGAAGCTATCCAGGTTGACTATACTCCGTGAATATGATTTGTAATCATCCCATGAGCGACAAGGCCTTCCGGTATTGCTTAATTTCAGCAGCATTGATTCCACACAAACTCTGGACTGGTTACGACATTCGGTGTCTCATCAGCAGTCTGGCTTGCTAGAACCAGTGCTGGTGATCTTCCAGATATTTATAGACGATGACCCTCTCTGATGATTAATTCGGGCATTCCCAGAAGTGATGCACTCCTAGATACAAGTGCAGGAGGCATATTGTCTGCTTGTTTATCTTGCTATATACACAACAGTAACTGATGTTAGGCTTTCCCACTCTGTCAGGTGCAGTATCACAGTTCTCTTGAACATCACCATAAATAGAGCGATTCAGAGCTTGATGTCATCGTGGGATTCTGCAGATTTCATAACCACCAAATGTAAACTGTGGTAGGAACAAGCTCAGTCTCAATCATGTTCAAGTTTTTCTCCATAATTGTATGGTAATGAAAAAGATGCAAAAGTTTGTATTGCACTGTGTGTATATATATACTTAAGAAAAGCCATTATCCTTAAACAGACTTAATTACTGTCATTTGATCAAACAGAATATTTTAGAAAGTTTCCAGGCTGCCAAAAGTTTACACTTTTCTTATATTCTCAGTCCAAGTAGAAGTCCATTAGAGACATAATGTAAGACAATTACACGAACAATAAACATCAGCAAACGCTTCAAAGTAGACACGACTACATCTAACTATACCCTCATGGAAAGCTCTCAATAACTGTTCTGGTAATTTCCCAGTGAGAGATGACTGTCAGTCAGACGCTTTTAAAACATAACCCATTAACATATTCCCCAGTGAAATAAGTGCCACAGATTTAATCCACAGCGTGGTTATGATTCTGACATTTCCCAAACTGTAGGGTTAGGCTCGAAATACATAAACGATTACAAATATTAAAAATAAGAATATGTTTTAGCGTTAATTGCAATAAAACAGATGTTAAGATGTTCAAACACAAAATAAAAACCTTTTTTAAGGAATTAAGTCTGCATTAACCACACGTACCTGTGGTGCACATGCAGACAAACATGCTTTGATAATACGTGGCATTGTCCTTGAAACTGATTGACCTACAACAGAGAAAGTCTTCTTCATGGCCTAGTCTCACCAGTGTCCGACCAGAGAATGCTAAAAGGTGTAAAGTATCATTCACCAAAAGGAGAAGAAATTGAAGGTTTTGCATTAGAGATTCATCCCTTCCTCATCATCCACTGTCATGGATCGCGAATGCCCACAAACACGCTCAGGCAGAGTCTAAGACACCAATTCTCATCCACGCGTTTTGTTCTCTCACTCTGCAGCCCAACCCCTCAGTGGTGGCGTCTCCTCCGCTCCTGAGAAGAGTCCAGAACCCGCGTCTGGGTCTAAGTCAGAGGGCTATCAGAGGGCACTGCTGCTGTCTAGGAGACCCAATCTCGTCCTGCATGAGATGTTGATGCAGGGCCACATCAAGGAGCACGTCTACTGGAAGGCGTACATGGAAAAATACCCCAGCATGTGTGAAAAGTTCATCCGCAAGGAAGTTAAAAGTGTAAAGAAGGACGGGGAGCTCGAGGTAGTGATGGAAGCCACTAGAAGTAATGAAAGAGACTTCCTCGCCATGTTACACTCATCAGGTAAGAGACGAACCACTTAAATAGAAGCACACCATTAGGAAGGTTGTCAGGAGAGTGAGACGTCAAGGTGGGCATGAAGTCTCAATCATCTGTGGCTCTGACAACGGTTCGCTCTGTCAATGCTGTTGCTGTAAATGGTGGCGTTTACGACTGAAATGCTGCTAAATTCCAGATCGTTTAGGTATTTATCCACAATCAGTAATGGATTTCTGGTAAAATAAATATCTCATTGTTAAAAATTTCATATATGCACCTAAATATGCACGATAAGCATGGTTTGCTATGTACGGTGCAAAATAAGTTCAACAAGCATGCAAACATATCCTTGTTCCTGTTCATAAGAGGTTTTTGGGTTAGATCGCATAAATATACAAATGTGTCATTAAAACCCGCCTCCACCCGAAACAGCCAACTAGTAAGGGTTGTCACTAAACAGAACGTGCTGATTCGTCACTAGTACAGCACACCGGTGTGTTGGAGAGACAAGCAACAACATTTACAAACTGAGTACTGTTGTGGCTTGGCTCTCCAACACACCGGTGTGATGTACTAGGGACGAATTGGCACGTTCTGTCTACGTGACAACCCTTACTATTTGGCTGCGTCGGGTGGTGGCGGGTTTTAATGACACATTTGTATATTTACGCGATCTAACCCAAAACCTCTAATATGGATGCTATTGGTCGTGAAAGCCTGCTACGTGTTAAATTGTTCTTGTTCTTCTTTGTTTTCAGAAAGGTGCTCTCCCACCGTGAACCCCAATTCCGTGAACTCCAACCTCCGCCTCTCCGTCGACCTCAGGACGGTGACTCTGTCCTCCGAGCACCACTCTTACCCCCACCACCCCGAGCGATTTGAGAACTGCGCTCAGGCCCTGTGCCGCGAGGGCTTCTCCAGCGGCGCGCACTACTGGGAGGTGGACGTGGGCGGCGCGGAGCAGTTCAGAGTGGGCGTCGCGTGCGCCACTCTGCCGCGCGGAGGGAGCGAGGAGGCGCGGCTCCTGGGCGCGGGCGCGGACTCCTGGTGCCTGTGGAGACGCGAGGGCGGCTACGTGGCGAGCCACCGCGGCCTCCACAGCGCACTGGCGGCCGTGCGCCCTCTTCCCAGGAAGATCGGCGTCCACCTGCGTTGGGAAGAGGGGCTCCTCTCGTTCTACTGCGCCGACACCAGGAGGCGGCTGCACTCATTCAATGCCACCGCCTTCCCAGGCCCTCTCTACCCCGCCCTGTGCGTGCACAAGGGGACGGTAACCATACTCCGCCTGAGTCTACGGTTTGAGGAGGGTGAAGGAGCGACCGGTGAGGCGGAGGAGAGTGGAGGAGTGAAGAGAGGTGTGGTAGAAGGTGTGGGAGTGAACAGCGACACGAGTAAGAATGTGGAGCTGCACACCAAGGTCGTGGAGAATAGAGCAGAGAAGAGTGGAGTAGAGAAGAGTGGAGTAGTGGGTAGTGGAGTAGAGAAGAGTGGAGTAGAGAGGAGTGGAGTAGAGAAGAGTGGAGTAGAGAAGAGTGGAGTAGAGAAGAGTGGAGTAGAGAAGAGTGGAGTAGAGAAGAGTGGAGTAGGGAAGAGTGGAGTAGAGGAGGGTGGAGTAGAGAAGAGTGGAGTAGAGAAGAGTGGAGTAGAGAAGAGTGGAGTAGGGAAGAGTGGAGTAGAGGAGGGTGGAGTAGAGAAGAGTGGAGTAGAGAAGAGTGGAGTAGAGAAGAGTGGAGTAGAGAAGAGTGGAGTAGAGGAGGGTGGAGTAGAGAAGAGTGGAGTAGAGAAGAGTGGAGTAGGGAAGAGTGGAGTAGAGGAGGGTGGAGCATCGCAGATTGAGGTGGGGGACGGAGGGACTGGGGGAGGTGCTGCTGGGGAGAGTGAGGCCAGCAACGGAGCAACGCAAAACTCGAGTGGGGCTGGTAGGGGCACGATGAGCGGAGCAGAGAGCGACGTAACTAAACTTGGGGACGTGAACATTGGCTTAGGGACGAGTAAAGGGGAGAAGAGTGACGTGGAAACCAGTAGGATAGTGAAGGTTGATGGTGGAGGAGGGAAGAGTGGTTTGGAGGAGAGTGGAGTGTTGCATAATGAGTCGGAGGATGGAGGTAGAGAAATGCTCATGGGAAGAGTGGCGATGTGGAGCAACACACCGTGACGACTGAGAGTGGTGGTGCAAAGGGTAAAGTGAAAAAGGATAAATCAATTGCGAGTAAAATTAAGGGAATAGAAATGGCTGTGACTAAAAGTGAGGGAATGAAAAGGAAGGTGGATGGAGCAGTACACAGTGACAAGAATAAAAATGTTGACGTGGACCGCAAGGTCGGGGATAATGAAAGAGACGAGAGGAATGTCGAGGGAGTGAATAGTGAGGTGGATGAAAGTGGAGAAGTGAAGAGCGCTGCGGGGGGGATGGTGGAGGGGAGAAGAGTGGAGTCGAGGAGAGTGTCACAGATTGAGGTGGGGGTGGAGGAATGGGGGAAAATGGTGCTGGGGAAGTGAAGAAAACTGGGAGGAGTGGTGGGGATGACGCAGAGAATGAAGGGAGAGTGCAGACAATTATGGGGGCGGTTTATTGGAACTTGACAGGAGCTTCGAGTGAGGTGGGAGAGGTTGAAGTAAAGGAGAGCGATGCTGGGAATGGTGCAGGAGAGAAGAAGAGTGGGGAGGAGGAGGTGTAGGAGGAGGTGTAGGAGGAGGTGGAGAGGTAAGAGCGTTAGATGGAGGGACACAAAACGCCGACTGTGCAGGCGTTGAGAATTCAGATGAAGTCTTCGCCCCGTGATTAATCCAGATTCTCCAGTGCAGAGAATTGATGGCTGCACGAAGCGTAGCAGCACGTTACATTTGTCTTTTTTTACGTAACTCATCGTATTCGTAATAAAGTCTTTTGAGTGACATCGCGTAAAAATAAATGTGTCGTTAACCCACCACCACCTGACAGCCAATTCGTAAAGTTTGTTACATCAACAAAACGAGCCAACAGCTATTACTTCAGCACATGAGTTTGATGTTGAGTAAACGCAAACCATTTTCATTGCATGCAGTACGACGTTTCACGGTGAATCCAACCAGCTTCTTCAGGAGATTTGCTCGGATTTTGAAGAAGTCTTCCTGCTTCCGGTCTTAAATATAGCAAGATGGCCCACGTGTTACATTTAAGCGACTCATTTCCTTCAAACTCTTAAAATTATTCTTTAGGTGCAGCTGTAATTGGTCGGAGATTCTGAGCATGACGTGTGATGTTGCACCACCTGGTAGAGTTCACTGATATTGAAGGGACATCAGAAGCCGCAATGCAACATCAGAATGCAGGAATGAGCTGCTCAGGGATAGCGCAGCAGATAGAAATTAATGTTACGGTCAATTTAAATATGCATAGAAAAATGATAATATGAACAGACGCACGATTGTACTTGCATTGTCAAGGGCCAGGTTATGACAATGCAGGGGCCCTGGGCTTCGTCAAGCTCTAGAGGCCCGATCTAGGAGTGGCTGTGTGGAGTTGTCATGGAAATAATCGTTTTAGAGTCGTCGTTTCCCCCATCTCCTTTATTCTACAATCGATTTAATAAAACTTGAACCTTCGTATAATTCCCTCTCTGCCACTGGAAACATCCCCCGGTCTCTGATTATTTTAAAGTCTCTCTCGAATACAATCGCCTAAATAGTCTATGGATCTGTTTACTCATAATAAAGGTTTTTGGGGTTAGATCGCGTTTATTTATAAACGTGTCGTAACCCTCCACCACCCGACACGGCCAATCAGCAAAGAAAAGTGTCACGTTGACAAAAGACAAATAATTCACTACTTCAGCCCACCGGTGTGTTGATGAGTTAATCCACATTTACAGTTTGAGTACGACGTTTCGCTGGTAAATACTTCCAGCATCATCGGGCAATTCGCCAGAATGGTAAAGCCCTCGCTTGCTCCCGGTTTTATATAGAGCAGAAGAGTGACGTCATCACTTAACTCATCAGGTGCAGTGATTAGAGGCGGAGGGGGGGGTAATGTAATTATATAATCGATTAGTAATCAGTCATTGGTTATGATTAGTAATGAGTTGTAGATTAGTAATTCTTTAAATCAAAATGTAATGTGTATTATTTAATAATACGCTTCCAGGCCGCACTAAGCCGGTAGCTGTCAGAGCGATTAAAGTTATTCTTGTTCCTCTCAATTTCAATGGATTCTCTAATTAGTCTTTGCCAGTAATAATTAGTTTTACACACCACTGCAACATTGTCAAAATCAATTGAGTGTCCTTGTTGACAAGCATGTTCTGCCACTGCCGACAGTTGTGTTTGAGATAATTTAATATTTCTCTGATGTTCTTTTAGTCTTACATTGAGATGCAGCAAACCCTTCCCTCTCGCGGGTTCGGCGATCGATGGAGGCGGAGTTCGCCGATCGCGCCCCCTTGTGGCCGCTCGACCATTCGCGTTCGACCGCGAGGTTCCTTCCGTGTAGCGTCGCAACTGCGCTGCTCGCGATGATGCTGCTGCTGCTGCTGAAGAACACACGCGCAGTCTTGTCTTCATCTTGTCTCTCTCTCTTGTCTTCATCTTGTCTCTCTCTTGTCTTCATCTTGTCCCCGACTTGTCTTCATCTTGTCCCCGACTTGTCTTTATCTTGTCTCTCTCTTGTCTCTCTCTTGTCTTCATCTTGTCTCTCTCTTTTGTCTTCATCTTGTCTCTCTCTCTTGTCTCTCTCTTGTCTTCATCTTATCCCCGACTTGTCTTCATCTTGTCTCTCTCTCTTGTCTCTCTCTTGTCTTCATCTTGTCTCTCTTGTCTTCATCTTGTCCCCGACTTGTCTTCATCTTGTCTCTCTCTCTTGTCTTCATCTTGTCTCTCTCTCTTGTCTCTCGTCTTCATCTTCTCTCTCTTGTCTCTCGTCTTCATCTTATCTCTCTATTGTCTCTCGTCTTCATCTTGTCTCTCTCTTGTCTCCGCCTTGTCCCCGTCTTGTCTCTCTCTTGTCTTCATCTTGTCTCTCTCTCTTGTCTCTCTCTCGTCTTCATCTTGTCTCTCTTATCTCCGCCTTGTCCCCGTCTTGTCTCTGTCTTGTCTCTCTCTTGTCTCTCTCTCTTGTCTCCGCCTTGTCCCCGTCTTGTCTCTCTCTCTTGTCTTCATCTTGTCTCCTACTTGTCTCCTACTTGTCTTCATCTTGTCTCTCTCTCTTGTCTCCTACTTGTCTCTCTCTCTTGTCTTCATCTTATCTCTCTCTCTCTTGTCTCTCTCTTGTCTTCATTTTGTCTCTCTCTTGTCTCCTACTTGTCTCTCTCTTGTCTTCATCTTGTCTCTCTCTTGTCTTCATCTTGTCTCTCTCTTGTCTCTGTCTTGTCTCTCTCTTGTCTCTCTCTTGTCTCTCTCTTGTCCCCGTCTTGTCTCTCTCTTGTCTTCATCTTGTCTCTCTCTTGTCTCCTACTTGTCTTCATCTTGTCTCTCTCTCTTGTCTCCTACTTGTCTCTCTCTCTTGTCTCCTACTTGTCTCTCTCTCTTGTCGTCATCTTGTCTCTCTCTCTTGTCTCTCTCTTGTCTCTCTTGTCTTCATCTTGTCTCTCTCTCTTGTCTCCTACTTGTCTCTCTTGTCTTCATCTTGTCTCTCTCTTGTCTTCATCTTGTCTCTCTCTCTCTTGTCTCTGTCTTGTCTCTCTCTCTTGTCTCTCTATCTCTCTCTTGTCTCTCTCTTGTCTCCGCCTTGTCTCCGCCTTGTCCCTGTCTTGTCTCTGTCTTGTCCCCGTCTTGTCTCTCGTCTCCCTCTTTTTTTTACGTTGTCGACGAGTTTCCTATTCCTCTTAATGTGTGAGGCACGTACCAATACTCACCATTTATATCGCGAGCTACGCAACCATGCTTGTGTCTACGACCTGTGCCGTGTGGATTCAGAGCCATGACGTCACGCACCTGGGGGGGGGGCAGACATTTGTGACGATGTGTGACGGGGGGGGGGGTGAGAAATGTGACGTCACATCAATACGCGCAACTTTAAATAAATATAGGCAACACGTTCTACTTAATTAAATGTACTTTTTACTAAATGTTCTCTCCTACAACATCAGAGTGCAGCGCCACATTAAATACGCACTACAATGGCTATAGTTTAAAGCGATTTGAAGCATGTTTTATATATCTTCTTTGGTTCTTTCGGTAAAGTCACGTAGAATGAGAATAAAATAATAAATTGATAAAATAAAATAACACAATAATATTATCACGACGTTTCGGCCACAACACAAGCGGCCTTCATCAGGTGAAGGGAGCGAGACTGTCTGGTAGGACAGCGCTGGAGTGAGAGAGCCACGTTCAGATCACGGCTTTTTAAGCTGTGTGAGAGGAACAAAGAGCCTTGACGAAGGAATTAGCATAAAATTTTGCATTGAAATGGCTGAATGATTAGCTTGTGACTGGTCACAGAAATAGCTATGTTAAAAGTTAAAGCATACACATCCGCAGAGGCACCCATTGTTAAAAGGAATTAGCATAGAATTTAGCATTGAAATAGCTAAATTAAGGCATACACATCCGCAGAGGCACCCCTTGATAATGGGATTAGCATAGAATTTAGCATTGAAATGGCTGAGTGATTCGCTTGTAACTGCTACAGAAATAGTTACGTTGAAGTCAGAGCATACACATTCACCGAGGCACTTAGTACAAATCAAACAGGAGAATTTAGCATTGAAATAACTAGGCGAATTTAGCATTGAAATAACTGGGTGATTTGCTAGTGACTGGTCACAGAAATGACTACACATCTGAGCTATTCACAGTACTATATAGTGAACCAATAAAAACTAAAATATAAATTACCTTCATGTTATCAATAAACTCTATATTCTCCAATCAGCTAAGCTACCAACCATGAGTCGTTATATATCACAATGCTATATGGCGAAAAAATGGGTGGATTCTTACCCTCAAATTTCCGTACCACGGATAGCTACGGGCCCCGTTCAGACGGACGAGTTCGTCCATGGTCGGAACAGAGGAGGGGGAGAGAGACAGCTGCGAAGCCCTAGTATACTCCATGTTGTAAACCATACCATTAACCGTGGTGTGAGAGGTATTAAGAGGCAATGCTGGCGAAAGAGCTGCGGTCTGAAGGTCATCGTAAAATTACAATTAATTAAGAACAGAAATGATTTAACACATCTTTCCAGTGGTTACTAAGCCTGAATCCATCTTCTCGGTTGAAATTGTCTCTGTGCTTGTATATGTGAATGGCCTCATGAACGAATCTCTCAGGGTAGCCAGTTCGTTTGCAAAGAACCTCCGTCTTGGAGAAGTCAATGTCATGTGAGCCCACTGAATTGTAACAGTGATCTGCCACGGCAGAGGAGTTCGTCTTACCGTGTTTCAAGTCTGCTTTATGTTCGCGGATGCGGTCCGAGATATGTCTTTTGGTTTCTCCAATGTAGCTACTACCACAGAGGCACTTTAGTTTGTAAACGCCCGGGTACTGTATGTCTGGAAGAGCATCTTTTACAGATGGAACTAAATCACGGATTTTGTGTACTGTGTTGAATCGGACCTGGATCTTGTGTTTATTCAGGATTTTGGAAATCTTTTTAGTGACCCCTGCAATGTAGGGTAAGGTGATGGTTTTGAGTGGCTCCACAAGAGGATCCTTCTTCATGACTGGAGTGATGGCTTTGCGGATTGTGTAGTCGGAGTA